GTCATTATCTATGTGTCTTCCGATGGTCTTAGGCGACCCCTGTGAAAGGGTCGTTCGCCCCCCAAAGGGGTCGCGACCCACAGGTTGAGAATGAACCCTCGTGGCCTTCTGATCTCTGTGTGACCCCTGACCTCGGGCCCTCTCTTTGCAGACAGCCGCGAGGAGAGCGTCCTGGGCAGCGTTCTGCTCCCCAGCTACAGCGTCCGGCCGGATGGGCCAGGCGCCCCCCGGGGGCGGCGCTTCACCTTCACCGTGAGTCCCTCCATCCCCCGATGCGCTGTGCACTAGGCGATGCGGAGGGCATTGGGGCACCTTTATTGTAGATCAAAGATCTTGGCCAGGCCAAGAGCCACCCCCCTGTTTGGAGGGCACGGGGGTCGGGGTCGCCAGCTTTCTCTCCCCGCAGGCGGAGCATCCTGGCATGCGGACCTACGTCCTGGCGGCGGACACGCTGGAGGACCTGCGCGGATGGATACGCGCGCTGGGCAGGGCCTCCCGCGCGGAGGGAGATGATGGGTGAGTTACAGGCCACGCACCTGGCCCTGCTGCTCCAACCTGGGGTGTCTGTTCATCCCCAACTCCTCCCCTGGAGGCCCTCAGCACCCAATCACCAGTCTCCTAGCGAAAGAGACTCCCTCCTTCAGGCCCCTGCGTTGAAAGAAATCCAGCTTTTCTTTTTTTAAAAATATATTTCATTGATTTTTACAGAGAGGAAGGGAGAGGGATAGAGAATCAGAAATATCATGAAAGAGAAACATCCGTCAGCTGCCTCCTGCACACCCCCCCCCCACTGGGGATGTGCCCGCAACCAAGGTACATGCCCTTGACCGGAATCGAACCTGGGACCCTTCAGTCCGCAGGTCGAAGCTCTATCCACTGAGCCAAACCGGTCAGGGCCAGCTTTCCCAATTATCAGTCTTTCCCTCTAAGCTCCGCCCACCACATTGTCCAGGCCCCTTATCAATATTCCACTCTCTCTGATTGGCTCCCTCAGAAGTCTATACCCAGAGGTTGCCCCCTACACATGTCAGTTTTTTTAAAAAAAACACGACACAATATTTTGATCAAAAGACTGTCTCTCTCTGGGTCTGGCCGAGTCTTCAGGCTGGAGATTCGTAGTCTGGGGCACTGGGGTCTCACTTGGTGGCCCTCTACCAGTCTTCCAGACCCGGGCCTTAGTTTCCCCATCTGCAAAATGGGCACAATGATTGATCGTGCACTGCCTCCCCCCCCTTTTTTCTGTGTAGGTCCCTGTGCCTTTGTCTGTGCATTTGAGTGCGATCATGTGATATTTGTCTTTCTCTGCAACGTCAGATTTTGTTTTTTTTTTAAAAGGCTTCCGACTGTCTCTCTCTGGGTCTGGCCGAGTCTTTAGGTTGGAGATTCATAGTCTGGGGCACTGGGGTCCCACTTGGTGGCCCTCTACAAGTCTTCCACACTCGGGCCTTAGTTTCCCCATCTGCAAAACGGACACAATGATTGATCGTGCACTGCCTCCCCCCCCTTTTTTCTGTGTAGGTCCCTGTGCCTTTGTCTGTGCATTGAGAATAAGGGCTGTTAGGAGGTGCCAAGGAGTGTTGTCTTTTTCTGTGCTCACTCGCTAGTGGGCGACCCAGGTCTCCCGCACGCCCCCAGCCGGGGGAGGGCCCGGGCGGCCCCGGCGGTCCTCCAGAGGCGAACACGAGAGACGAGGGGCCCAGCTTAGAATCGCCGCAAGGGGCTCGGCTTTCCAGAGAGCGTGGCCGCCCGGGGCCGCTCACTTCCGCTTCCCATGCCGACCTCCCATCTGGGCCCGGGATGCAGAGGACAAGGAGCCCCGAGTGAGTTGGACCAGGGGAGTCCGGGAGGGGTAAGCTGGGTTGGGGGCGTGGCCTAAGAGAAGGGCGGGGCCTGGGACTGGCCGGGGGCGTGGCTTAGCGCTTGCTTTCTTGAGTAGGACTTGCTGGGGTGCCTGTGGGGTCAGAGCCTGTGGGGTCGGGGTTGGGGGCGGGGACCCTTGAGGAGATGCCAATAGGGGAGGGATTATGCAGCATCCGGCCAAGAGGAGGGTTCTGCTCTTAGAGCAGCGGTTCTCAACCTGTGGGTCGCGACCCCTTTGGCGGTGGAACGACCCTTTCACAGGGTTCGCCGAAGACCATCCTGCATGTCAGATATTGACATGACGATTCATCACAGTAGCAACACGACAGTTATGAAGTAGCAACGAAAATAATTGTATTGGGTCACAGCAACATGAGGAACTGTATTTAAAGGGACGGAATGTCGAAAACCACTGGTGTAGGTCAACTTGGGGTCTATTAACATAAACCACTTGAGAGTATGTAACCTTACTGGCAAAGGCAGCATCAAAATCTTAGACATGTAATTATGGGCTGAGCGGTGCTCAAGTACATCTTCATTCAAGGCCATTGCCAACTCTGAGCTTTTTTAACTCAGATGTGAAGGGA